TCCATCCATCCATCCATCCATGGCAGCAATGATTTAAAGCAACGATATGCTGGTAAAAGTTTGAACTAGGGCAAAATAATGATTACAAACATTTAAATGTTTCAGAAAAACCAAAACCTTAATTTTTAAAGCTATCAAATTATATAATCCTATGATGTAAAATAATTTCCTGTTGAGTGCCTCTTTGGTTTCAGGTGACCACTCTCTGCCTGAAGTTCACCTTTACTTTTATTACCTGCTATCTAGTATCAGCAGCTTTTCCTGTAACTCCACTATTATAAAAATCAAAGACACAGCCTTGTTTTCAGTTACGACTTCTAACCATAACTGCTATTTTATTGCTTTTAGGTTGTCAATAGTTTTAAACCCATCTGTATCACTTCCTCCTGCTGGGAATCATGTAGTGTTTAGAAAGGAGGAGAAGCTTAAGTCTCGTACTTGATTAGGTTTGGACTGAGTGCAAACCAGTCCTTTCTGTATGCTGGTGAAGATTCTCAGTCATTCAGGTCATAGTCATTCCAAAAAAGTTTGTTTTCCAAGTTTGAAGATGTTTCACAGACTTTTTTTTTTATATTTTTTAGAAAGCCTCCTGTAGGGGAAGCGAAATGTATTTAAACTTGGAAAACAAAGCCCAGTGGTTTGATTTTTAAACTTTTTTGGAATCAGTCCTTTTCTGCTTGTTGATATTCAGCTTTACAACATAAAAACATTTAATCTGAATATGCCATGATGTTTGTACTACGTTTTGAATCAATGCAGCCCCTCAGCATGATGCAGCCACTTCAAAACCTTTCCTTAAATTTGATTTTAAAGGTTTGGATCAAAGAAACCTCCTGAACTCCTCCAACTATGTTTGTCATTGTGGATAAAAACCTTAGTCTGAGTCTGACCTGATAATAAAATTATTCTACTCAAGGCTTCAGGTCGGGTTAGCTTAGCAGCTAACTCGGATTTGTCCAGGTGTTTATTACGTTAATAACTTTTTAGAAACCCCCCCCAAATCCCCCCCTTTTTTTTCCCCATTCAACCGATACCCAGAAATCTAAAAGCATTCTTTGCCTTCTGACACAATTTCACCCATTTAAAGGAAAAGTCCGGTCAGCAGGGAATAATCAGCGGATCATTATTTATACCTAAAAATAATACCGTATTTTCACGACTATAAGGCGCACTTAAACGTCTTTTTTTTCCCTCAAAATGTGCGGTGCGCCCTATGGTGCGGTGCGCCCTATGTGTGTTGTAACTGCGACTTTTGAGACCACCTCATTGAGGAGATGATGAAAGAGTGGCTGAATGTAAGTGAATGTAAGGAGACCAAGTGGTTTTTTTTTCCACCCCTCACAATCGCTGTTAATATGTAACTCCATGCGTGCCCATCTCCCAGCTGATGTGAAAAACATGGAGAAACAAA